ACGTACCGACTACTAACCTACGGGGTGGTCGAACGTAATATACTTACTTACTTGTAGGTACGTCGTCAACAATAATACCGTCCGTACTGTGTACTCTTGTTCTACTACTATATATATATATATATATATATATATATCTGTGTCAGTGTAAACTAATTGTACCTGATGATGACAAAACCTTGTACATTTGCTGTTATGTTAAACTTATATTAAAGTTTTTCTTCATAACACATTCAAGCCGTCTCCAAGCATTATTAAACAGTAAAGGTAGTCGTCCAGAAAAAACAGGTCTCCACAATAACAGTATCTATAGTCAGGCACCTTTTTACTTACTCTGTGGTATTTCCCTCAGAGTAGCCTGCAGGAACTAGAAAAATGGGACAGATACTATTACAAAGCAGTACCATATTTCCTCTGCTTTTGACTGAGTCTTAAATAAATAAAAAAAAGAGACTGGGCACAAGATGTAAACAATCACAGTCTTTTTCATACAAAGAAAAAGTCAAGTTAAAGCTAAGTTAAACACTTGAACAAGTGCTTATATTGTCAAACTGAGAGAGATATCTTTATTAACGCCCTCTTAATACTGTGATTCTAACTCTTTCATGCTAAAGTTAAAGCTGTAATAATCACAATCTGTGGAACCTCCATCTTAAACAAAGTCTCAATAATCTGTATTGCCGTATACCTCTATAAGCTTGAATCTCAATGCTAAACTCCAAATGTGAATATATATATATAAGGAGTCCAAGAAAAAAAGTATGATCTTAAATAAAGAAAACATATTAATATAATATAAGTTATATCTTCCCAGTTGCATACACCATCTACGTGAATGAGGGCCACTTTCATGTCAACCATTCTATGGTTTGCTGCTAGAACATACTACTGCTTCTATTCATAGCATATTTAACATTGCAGTGGCATCTTCTAAAGGAAACACACAAGCAACGGTCTTGGCGATCAAGGCAACCTTGTAAATAACCGAGATGAGCAGAACTAAGTACTTTCTTATACTAAAAATAAAGACATGCAAAACATTGAAAATTTAGTAATTATTTAGCAGCTAAGGGGGTAGATAACACGATATGCCCGCATATCACAGTACTTTATTTTTAGACTTTAATTACTGTGGATTTTTTAAAACTAATTGATGGTCAAGGAAATGGGGTTACCAAAGTGATCAGACAAAAAAAAAATACGGGTCCATCTCGTTAAGTATGGGCACAATTTGTAGTTCGGTTCCATCTAATTAAGTATGAGCACAGGTTGGTTACCCTGTGGTATAAAGCTGGATTTTGGATCCGGCAAGGTGTGTTCAAATCCATAAAATACCACAACGTGAGTATATTATAAGACATCCCCTTAGCATGAAGGGTGATTGGTAGAGTGCTAACTTTCTACTGGTCAGTGGTGGATCATTATGGATAGTGGGATATATCCTAAGCAGGTTTACCATAAATACAAAATCCATCCGGATCATTAAGCATTTTTACATCTAATAACTGTCTGTATTTTATTTAAAAAAAAGACTAGGCTAGATTGTTAAGTATTTTCAAATTTGGTGACCAGTGCACAATATTTCCACCGACAAATAAAATAATTAATTTTTATACCATAGTACAGGTGCCTTTTTCTTCTTGAATAAAAACATAATTTAACTTTTTGTTTTAACTAAAGTTATGTGACCCTGGAAGCACCATATCTTCTGTTATTTATTTCAGAATGGGTTGTTATTTTAAATGGTATAACTTGTGTTTACTTATTTTAGTGTCTCCCGGTGAAATAGCGGTAAGTTTATGGATTTACAACCCTATAATATGTAGTTCGATTCCCCTCGGTAAACACAGCAGATAGCCCAATGTGGCTTTGCCCTAACACAAACAAACAAACTTATTTATGTATGTTATTATTGATATTGCACATTATTTGTATGTACATAACTGTACGATGTATCTTTCGGGTCACTTGTCATTTCAAGTTCCGACAAGTTTACAACACAGGAAAAATGTTTTTACAGCAAAAGCGGTAAATGGTTTAATAATGACTTGTAAATTTCCTATTTTTTTTAAATACTTTACCACTTACTACTGATCTACCTTTGCCTTTACCGGATTTGACGATTTTTACTTTACCTGTTAACATACTTCTATACCGAAACAGAAAGGTGTGGATCAAATAAAATACTTTATTCTTGAGTAACTTCGTTAAACGTTTTATGTAAACATTTTGACACTGTTTGATGGTTTTTGTCAGTCCTGATAAATTGACTAAACTACGTAGCACCGCTAGTTTCGGTTAAGCCTCGACGTGCGGAAACCGAGTACAAAGTCTCAGGCGATAAAAATTAGTGTAGTTGTTTTGGTAACTGCTCCCTCTTTAGTTATTTAACAAGTGACATAAAGATGTTTTTAAGTCTTGTTTCAGTATCGTCGTGTTGTCCATCCTGATGAACGAAACAACTGTGATATTGTCAGACCTTAACTTTAAACTGAGCCACAAACCCGCATGATAAGTATGTAATCTTGTTCAATTTTTTAATTATATATACACGAAGAAGAAAAATGTGGAAACTCTATGTACTTTTTTCAGTATTGTATAGTATTTTTTTACCTCTTTCAGCTACAATTATGTTTTATAACGTTTTTAAAATAATTATATTATTTATCTTTCGCTAGCTTATACTAAGTTATAGTTTTTCTTTGCACCATTTCAGTTTTAAATATCACTAACTAGTATTTAGAACGTCAATGTATAATGTTAGGCTTAAGTATATCTAACGTATGAAAATTGCAAACAATAATATCATCTCGACGCCTAACGGCTTTTAATTACAATTTAGAGAAGCGTTAAAATGGTCAGTAAATTATTTTCCAGCTATTATTATTCTTTCTTTTTCGTTACAATTCCAAAAGGGAAATACTTTGAAAAAAGATTCACTCCATCCGTTAAAAAAATGTAATTACAAAATAGAAATATTCGCTTAATGGGGAAACAATTTTCAGGGTTACTGCGATTGCTCTTTCTCTGTTATTTTACGATAAAATAGCACAGGAATGCGAAGTGCTTTTTTATCTCTAAATCAATTAACTTTCTAGTGTGTTTAACATGTGGACTGACTTTTCCATGGACCTTTCTTCCGTTTCTGTTAATTTGAGGTTTAATGCACTTTTGTATACAGCGAAACTTGCCAGGACGGGTGTATTCTTGAGTTCTCTATATATTTCTTGCTTTTGATAGTTAGTTCCTTCCAGAAGTTTAATCCGTGTTAAATTGTATATTTTGTTCTCTAAATAGTTGCAAAATGAAGTTTTTCGTTATTATTTTTACATGTTAATAGTTTTTTTTATATATTCTCAATACTATGTATACCTTAACGTACAGCACTAGTTTATTTTATGCCGTAGTAGGACCTAACGCTTAAAAGAAAGAAAACATTATTAAAATGGACTAAACTCATTTCTTTAAGTTAAACATGATTTCATCTTCGTATTATACTTCAATTTAAATATGATTTATTCTCCGTACAATACTTAACTTTTTACCAGAGCTTCTGATGAAAAGTTATATTCACCGAAACTGATCCAACATTGAGAAGTGGATCGAAGCCTAAAGGCTATTGCATACCGGATCCAATCCGTCATCCGAAAAGTAGTGCATCAAATCCATTGCGTGTTAGATATGCTAAAAACCATATTTTAATATTCAAAATGGCTGAAGTTGTATCTTCAGTTAGCACCACCAGTGATGAAGATTTATTAGTTATCTTTTGGAATAGAAGCCAAAAGTTCAAAACAAGGCGATACTGGGTACTCCCGATACTGAAGAGACGTAATCAGCTGGGGGTGGGGGGTATCACAGGCTGACACAAGAGCTCAAGCTGAATGGTGAAGGAATCCGTGTTTATTTCAGGATGTCAGCAATTTAGTTTGAGTAAGTATTAAACATAGTCGGGCTCCACCTGCACAAGCTGGAGACCATCTTCAGAGAATCTACATGTCCTGAGCAACTTCTGCCTACATGTTTAATGTATTTAATATTATATTTACAGCCTATGTAATTTTATTCGCCAAGATTTTTTAAAGTCAAATTCTGTAAAAGGACAGTAATATTAGTAGTCAAATTTTATTTTAATCGCTACAATAATTCTCATGTCTTCCCAAGTTATTACCATTGGTGAGTGTAATTTTTAACACACGTCAATTCGAATTTGTTTCAATTCCAAAATTTAACACATCAGCAACGGACGAGAATTACTGAAATTACCTCTTCCAAGATGCAATAAGGAATGTACGCGCTTATTAAAATATTTGTCGCATGACAAAACACACTGTAAAACTGGATGCAGGATCGAATCCAGTTTGGAATGGCCTTAAAAACGAATTAAATAATATATTATTTTCCAACCATAAATTGGAGAAGAAAATACAAAAAAAAAAGCATTTCTTTCATAAATGGGTATTTAAATTGGCTCGTGTCTATATTAACATTCATAATAATAATTCATAATACATTTTAAACCTGTGCAATACGTAGCTGATCATTATTTACCTAATATAATAACATTTATATAATAATGTTACTAATTGTATCAAAATTTGAAAAAATAGAAATGAACAAACATACTTAGTAATATACACAATTTGTGCATCAGTATAATTAATATGTACGTTATTTTACTTTTTTATGTGTAAAGTGTAAATCAATATGCACCACTACATATTATTAAGTATTTTTTCTTCATCGAATATTTTACTTATTATCAAATTCGTTTCTTTTTTTATATTTTATAACTGACTATCAGAGTTAATCGACTTAATGTTCGTAATGAAAACCACGATAGACTGCAGAATTATTTTTAATCTTTCTAATTTGCTTATTATTATTAAAGATACTTTTTATTTCTCATACCTCGCTAGCTCTCAGCATTCGTCATTGTAATCCTATTATTTTCTAATGGAGGCCTAATCAACAAGTGAGAGTAGGTATATCACTGTTAAATGTTACGGATAAGATTTTGGTGATAGCAGTAACACTTAATTTATAGATTATTATTTTTTTCTTATAAGAGTACTGTATTTTCTTTTGACTTTTGACAAATAAAAATTCATAATTCCAAGATGAAAGCGAAAAATAAGTATTTTTATCCTCAAGTCTCGACGCTATAACAAAAAGCCATTACCAATAGTAATACTAGACAAACCGATTAGGCTAAAAATTTCGAAAGTATTGAGGTTACTAGCCTGTCTTCAACGTAAAGTCGCCCAGTAGCACAGCGGCATGTCTGCGGACTTACAATGCTAGAATCCGGGTTTCGATACCCGTGGTGGGCAGAGCACAGATAGCCCAGTGTGTAGCTTTGTGCTTGATTACAAACAAACAATCAACGTAAAGACATTAGTACTAGAGTAGTACTTATAACAGTTATATTACTATCTATGGTTTTCACGTACAGGTAAACTTAGACCTAAATTTTAGGCTTAATCGTCTCATATTTTTAAAGTAATAAACGTAACTTCTTGACTACTTTAATTTCACTTTTGACCAATCAGAGGGACACTAGCATGGAACGAAGGAATTCCACTAGACGTAAATCTATCGCATTGCGAAAAATTAAGCGTTAAACTCATTGATCGCGGTCAGGTGCATGACTATTTTTACATTTTTTGTGTTGTTTATTGCCAATTATTGCAAGTATACGCATGAAAGAAAGGGTAATAACGTTACTATTTTTTCATTTTCACTATTTTTATGAACAACGACTCAAAACTGTACTACTATACTTGTATCACGTACACTTTTCCGTTATATTGTAGCTGTATTTCGTTTTCTGTTACTGTCGTTTAAAATTAATAAGTTTGGTAATCTGTGACGTTCATAGACCCTTGATAAAGGCGTAAGCTGAAATGTCGGGTACAAATAATTAAACATTTTTTCTGAAGTTGTTTGTCGTCTTCATTAAATAAGGGTAATTAAATTTGGAGCACGATTTTCATTGGTGATGAGTAGCAAAATACAAAATTACTGTACTTGAGAGAACCTCCGAAGTACTTCTTGTGATGTTAATATCAATGCGCTAATGATGCGCCCATCCATGACGTTCCGGATTGAGCCAGTTAATTTACATATGTTATGTCTAGTATGCGGCATCCACGTAGATGTAGAAGTAAGTAGCACAATCCTGTTCCGTCAACTAAATATAATTGTTCGTATTTAGTTATACTTTTCAATATATAAAAAACAAAAAAAACAATACGCCCTAAGGATGTCCATCACAATTACCACCGAGTCTCCCAAATTTTGAAGCAAGGGGACCTGGGTTTTTTAAACTGTATAGCCAAGTAGCTACACTGTATAATTATTATTTCACGAGGAAAGAAAATACATAGAAATTCGCAATGTTCATTGCACATGTATAAAACATGTGAAAGGAATGGAGGAAAGAAATAGTGTGTACTTCTTTTATATAAACAATACTAATATCCTATATCAATTCACTTTCTGTGTTTGTGAACTTATTTGTCCACGAACTCCTTCCACGATTTTGGAGCTAGCCGTATCAAACTTGGCAAGCGGACTCGCGGTGTCCTTATTTATCTGGGGTACCGGGGGAGCCAAAACACGCCCGGAAGGTCATCCAAACATGATAGATGGCGTGGGAGTATATTTATAGGTTTGCTGGACTCTAATATGGTACTGGATTTTGTACCTCCCCCCCTCGAGATCCCGGGGCGTTATATTTGAAATTGTGTTAATACCTTCCTCCACCTCAAAAGCTATTGTCACTAAACTTGGAATACGTGATCTGATACAACGTTTGGATATTCTAATGTTTTTTGGTACGGAATCCCTCCTTTGGGGTAACTGTACAAATAATTGAGGAGCTCGTTCGGTACACTGGAGCATCTGTGTATCATTGGGTGGGAGGGGGGGGTATGTTAATATAAGATAAAGAAAGAAAAATATTCTTTTGTAAAGTCACAGTAAGATTTTTTCCTTTATTTCTAGGGGGATGTTTGTTTAAGAAGTTTATCATTTATCAAAAGAAAGTGGAATAATTGATGAAACAATTCATGGACAATAAGGGAACAATATCACTATCAAAGTCGACGCCAGCATTCAACATTGAAGATAGTACAGGTAACATTTACTAAATAATGACCGAACTTCTACAGTTGACATTTGTGATAGGTATTTGACATTTTAATGAGGCAATACACGTTTTAAAATGTATATACGTTGGGTATATCTACGTCACAAATGCTTCAGATGTTGTCTTTTGTCTATTATGATTAGATATCGGCATGTAGGGAAAGTTTCATCTCATAAATTTAAATTCAAAACAGCGTATACACAGCAGGATTCGAGTTTTGTTTGACAAGATCTTTGTCCATTTATAAGACGAACGATATTAGGTTTTTGTTCTCGGGCCTTCATCACTTAGACCTCAGCATATATAGTCCGAAATCTAGTCCACTTAAAAAACGTAGAAAACTCCAAACATAACCCTATACTAGACCTAAAACTAGTGAAAGTTCGCCCACCTTAAAAACCTCAACGATAATCTTTTGCTAAGCATACTTGTTTATCCATCTAAAAATCGTAGAACTTCAACAATAACACTATACTAAGCCTAATCTAGAAAACGGCAAATTTCCTCGATAACCTTATACTAAGCCTAATGATTTGTCCACTTTAATAATGTAGAAAACTACCTATAATTAGGGCTGATACGATACGTATTTAGATATTGATGCCGCGATATGATACGTATCTAGATACAGAAGTTTTACTATAGGTTTGTTACAAAGTTTGACAGTCTCGACAATGAAACTTAATTTGAAACAGGTGTATAACGCTAAGAGCTTTAAGTTATTTAATGTAAGCAAATGTAGTTTCCTGCTAAAATTTGAAGTAACTGTAGGAAGAAAAAAGGATAATTTTGATTTATTTTGTATTTTTTTATGGTGAATTACGAGGCTGGTCAAACTGACGACTTCGCTAAATTAGGGTAGTGAATATAGCAGATAAAATATGAAGATTTATCAAAAAAAAAGTTGGAAATTTATTACGGAGGCTTTAGAGATTACACAAAATAAATTTATTAATTTCTAGATGGAGAAAAGTATTTTTAATCTTAACATGAAAGACTTATAATGTTTACTAAAAGCTTGTCAAATTTCGTGAAGATACATAAATAGTATCGGACGATGTATCAATACAATTGTATCGCCACACCCTTACCTTTAACCCTATGCTAAGCCTATCAAGGTTTAACAAAATATATGGTATATATGCTTTTTACAAGCCAGCAAATATAGTGTGGTTGGAATATTGTTATTATACACTCCTCTAATTCTTGAAAATCACTAAGAGACTAGATAAAGAATGTAGTGTATCAAAAATTTATTACTAATAGGCCTAATACTAATGTCTCATGACAAATTTGCTATCGAGGTTTCTCTCTTATCATTAATGATAAACAGAAGAGGAGACTGTCATGTTATATTTTGTGAACAAGTTTACTTGAAGGTCATTTATATTACATATTTTCTGAGAACACAAAGTAAACACTCCACAAATCTCTCTCTCTCTCTCTTTATATATATATACGACACTTCCAAATCCTATGAAATTAAATATAGTACGATAGTAAGTAAATGTTAATGTACGAACTTTTAATTGTTATGGAACAGAAGACTACTCTCCATCTTGGTTTTAAGAGAGATGGTCCAATAAGTCCCAAAATATTATGTTATACTGTAGTAGCTGATTTGTGATTTACACAAAATTCTTTCATTAAATTGAGGGTGGATTAATTGGCTGGTCTTTTCTTTACTAATTACAAAAACAACTTTTACGAATGAAGTCGTGGTGCGTGTGTGAATGAACATTTTTGAATTTTGTCAAACGAAGCTATTTCTGGCGACAGTAAAATATAGTCAAGTGTAACATAAAACTTAAGGTTTCTGGTTTTCAGTTTCGATAGATTTAGATTATTCACTAGTAAAGTGAAGTACAGTTGAAACATCACAAAAATAGTCCTCGATAATAAGTTTTCTTATTTTAGACGTACCTTTCATCTCTGTTAGAACTTTCTAGCATTATAAAATCATGAGAATCAACTAGTGACGGTATGTTAATCACTGCTGACCAATCAACGTTATTTCTTTCATAATTGACTATCTCCTGTAAAATACTATTTTTTTCTTGTAAACTTTGAATAATTTAACTGATGTACGTTGAACTTTGTTTTCTTTATTAGGAATTAATAGTCGTAGACCGTCTTCGTGGGCAGGGAACAGTGAACTAGATGCAGCCCCATCAAGGTCTGTTTAAAACTGTAACAGTCAGAATGTTGACTGTGTAGCTAACTTTTCTACATCTAAAACAATTTCGATAAAATTAACAGAGTGTAACATTAAAAGTTGGCTACGATTATAGAACTGTAAATATTTTGTATAGAATGTTCGAGAAAAATGATATACTTAAAAATGTTTAAACAAAAAAAAAGTTATTACAATTTTTTTTTTATTTCATATATTATGTGGCTTGTTTGTTGTTAAGCGCAAAGCTACGCAGTGGGCTATCTGTGCTGTGCCAACCACGAGTAATGAAACCCGGTTCTTAGTGGCGTAAGCCCTCAGTGGTAAGTCTACAGGCTAACACGCTAAACTTAGGATTTCATTACGTATGGCAGGCAGAGCTTAGACAGCCCATTATGTAGCTTTGCACTTAACAACAACCTAAACCATAGATCATAACTATATGTACCTCAAATCCTTTTTTTTTCACAAATACTGGTTGTAGTAAGTAGTGAATTTTTTACTAATTATTAACTAGTATTTTTTTTTTTTACAATTTAAAAGGAGACCATCAGGAAAACGTTTAAAAGTAAATTCTGCCATGTGTACCTGTGGGAAAAGAAGACATGATGAAGAGAAATATGACACTAGTGACACCTGTACAGGTGATGAGGAACTCGGAAAGAACAGTAGATCACCTGAACTCTTTCAGAAAACATCATTTTATTTTAGCTGTTTAAGAAGAAAAAAAACGTCAGATGATAAAAAATAAAGGAATTAAGTGGGTAATGTTGTTTTGACGTCTGTATTTATTTCATGTTTGTCGTGATTTCTGAAATATAAAAGTAGTTACGAAGAAACTGTTTAAATGGCATTGAAATTCATTTAGTTTGCAAAATTGTGATTATTGTATAGTTTTTTTAGTAAACCACTGAAACAACATTCATTAAGATACAAATTGTGTGAATAGCTTTAATTTGAATCTAGCTGTAGTAACCAAAAGTCCAATAAAGTTACAGAAAGTAATATAATGGGAAAATTACCTTTTAAATGTCAATTATATGAAAACTAGAAACATTGTAAAAAATACTAACTTCTTGTACTTTGTTAAAGACAATTGTTTAGGTTCTGCTACGAAGTCACTATTCATCTGTGACGTTTAGCAAACCAGTTAATTTACAAAACATTATTCTTCAAAAAACAAGTTATTTGTTGGGAATTTTAGGGTTATCTACTCGTAACCATCCCTAGTTTGAACTGACGACCAGAACTCACTGGCAACTCTCTTGGGATACACTTGCATGTTTGAATAGTGGGAATTAACCCTCTTAAATGTGGAGCATGTTTTTATGGCAATGGGACACGAACCATGAACTCTCTGATTTACAACTAAACATTAGGTCGTGCCTGGACCAAAACAGACTGATTGCCCCATTAATGAAATACCCTGGATTTTTCAAACGTATCAATAAATTCCCAATTTTAAATTACTAGAACACACTGGAATAATAATAGTTAGAAATGTATCCCAACATTTACTCAGTGACAAGTCCAATGAAAAAGGGTCATTTTTCTTTGTAAACTTGTGTACACGTTTAACAAGGTTATGCCAATATACTAGTTGTTTTAAGTGTTTTGTAGTTTTAATTTTTTTTTTTTTTTATCTTTGTATGTGCATTCAGGTACTGTGGACACTCAAGAATAATACAATATTTACTCAGTAAAAACTGTTTGTTTTTTGTAAGTTTCTATATGTAACTGAAATAAATTTGTACCCATACTTTTAATTTTTTTCTTTTTCTTGGTATATTCATTCAGATAACAAGAACTCTCTGGAAAAACTACAGTTTTTACTTATCTATATTTCACTAAAAACACGAGTTTGAATCATTGGTTCTACCATCCAATGAGATTCATTTTCTTGTTTAGTTTATAACCACACTTTCCATGTTTATTTTTAAGCTAACGTATTATTCATTAGTTTAAGGCATCGGTAATGTCGGTTTAAATCCTTGAACGTTCCAAGCCGGATGCACAAAAAAAAGACACACACACAAAGATAGTTGTATTTATAAGATTTCTTTTAATATTAGCATTAGAAAGCTTTGATCCAAATTTGATATCAAAATATGCAAAAAAAAACTGTATTTTCTAAAATTATAATCACAAGTTTTTTTCAGCTTCTAAAAAAATCTAAACAAATTGGTGTTATAAATATGAAACAATGTGTAGATCTTTCTCCCATATAAATAGAATTCACAAAGTAAGATCAGTAAGTGGATGTCTGGTCAATTTCATATTCATTTTCATGAATCTTCAAGTAAACAACATTTTTATTGATATAAATAAGTACACTGTGCAGTAATTCACTTTGTAAAAGAAAACGTCTTTACTCACACTGGAGAGAGAGAGAGAAAAATCTTCCTGTTTTTACATTTAACACAAAGCAATTTAAACAAATAATCCACTTTCATTTCAATCATATCAAATCACAAGAAAGTAGAACAGTAATAAAGCTAGGTCAGTTAAGGTATTTTAAGATTAGTATGCCAGAAATGGCACCACATACATTTTTGTTAAGGTGGGAGAGCGAGTCTATCGGCATTTCTCAGAATGTGGTGAGAAATCATTAAGATATTTCCTCACACCTCAATATCTTGTGCTGCCTAAACTGTGGGATAATATTAAACACGTATCTCGTAAAATCAAAAATCCTTTATAAGGTTCTTATATCACTTCAAAGACATAGCAGTCCTGCTGTCTCGCCAACTGTTTATGTAATACGCGTGCAGTAACATAAGATCTAGAGGTACACGTTTTCACCACCATGGTTTTGTTACCACGTTCTCGTGTGATCAGACACTAAAGCATTACTTGAAGAATCATGAAAATTTTTATAACAGTGTACTGCACGGAAAAAAGTTATAAATAGCATTTAACCGTTTCTCCAACGTAGATGGCATTATGATTTTTACATTATTAAAAAAACTCTACAATGAACTTTCTAATTGTCACTGTTTTGGGATTCAACACCCAGTGAGTCCATTGAAATACAAGGATTCCTTCATGTTATATTAAAATAACAAGAAGCGGTTAAACTTGTATCTATTGGTACTAACACTCGGAAGGATTACCGTCTTGTGTATTCGAGAGTCAGAAGTCTAAACGTTAAAAAATAACACACGTTTTAAAACAAAATCACTGTAAGAAAAGGCACTATGCTGTAACAGTGAGTAGTACATAAATATAAAAGTATTAATCTTACACAGGGACATTTTTAAAGAATCGTTGACTTTTAAGTACATGGTCCTCATTTTTCTTCCTTCAAAAAACAAACTTGAATTAACATATTTTAACATTTTGTTCCTTTTTATTTAAAAAAAAAGTTGTGAAGATATGCAACAAAATGTATTCTACCTAAAGCATACAATTTTATGTCATGACTACATGAATGTCATGTTCAAAACAATACATTTCCAGCCCGCAATCAAGCACTGTTAAAAAGTTAAGACTCGCTTCAATTACCAAGAAGACAAAAAAAAAAAAATCAGAATAGTTTCTCTTACACCAAATTTGTAGCATACACTAATAAGCCTAGTATTCTTCTTCGTCATTTTGAGGAATTACTGCTCCATCTTCCAGTCCTTCCTCAGGAACAGCAAACCCTTCCTGAAAAGGAAAAATATATAGGTTTGATGTAACCAGAAAATTATAAACTGTGATATCTTGCTAACAAGAGACAGACTGATAGTCATAAATCTGTACAGAGAATACTGGAAACAGAAGCCGACTTCTAAACTAATCTACATGTCTTAAGTTTGTAAGCATTTAAAAACACTGATAAACCACAGCTGCAGTTAAACAAACCAAATATTCAAGCTTTCAAACAAAAGTGTCAGAAGTAGTCCACCAGAACTAAATAGAATCCACCTAACCTAACGTTACGACCACTTAAGCACACGCACAATAACAAAAAATTAAGAAAATCAATTTTGGGATTTTTTTTGAAAATTGAAGTTTCAAAGAAAAGTCTAAGTTGAGCCAAACATCAAGAAATCAACTTACGTTTCTAAATGCTTAAATTTACGTTACAAAGAAAATCTTGTAAGAGTTAGGATGTGGAGTGGTATAAATTAGTGAAGCAATGGACAATAGTAAAATGGAACCCGGTTTTTTTTTAGTTCGTTATATTGTTACGTGACCCAACTTTATCCTGTCACATACATAACTAGATGCACTGACCTCCAGTAAGCAGTGTTAATGATGTTTTTGTTTCATTTTTGAAACCTAAAGGTGATAGGTTAATCTACAAATTTGGTATACTATGTACAAAGTAGTTTTCAGTAACAACATTTATAGAATACTATAATTTCAAACTAGTAATCCTAAGCATAAAATGATCCTATCGTTAGATGTTCACACATAAATGACAAGAGAATAGATCCTGTTGTTAGATGTTTACACATAAACGACGAGAATAGATCCTATTGTTAGATGTTCACACATAAATGACAAGAGAATAGATCCTGTTCTTGCACAAAAACGTTATTTGATGGCATAATGATGGTCCTGACAGATGAGGTATAATCAGTGTATCTGAAACCAATAGTTTTGTGAGTTATGATTCCTATATGTGCTGTGGATATTCTCTTGTCGTTGATGTGTGAACATCTATCAATAGGATCTATTCTCTTGTCGTTTATGTGCGAAAATCTAACAACAGGATCTATTCTCTTGTCGTTTATGTGTGAACATCTAACAATAGGATCTATTCTCGTCGTTTATGTGTGAATATCTGTCAATAGGATTTATTCTCTTGTCGTTTATGTGTGAACATCTAACAATAGGATATATTCTCTTGTCGTTTATGTGTGAACATCTAACCTTGAAAGGTTTAAAAAACCTCAACATACAGAAAACTAACCTCTGTTGCATACAATACATCCAGTATTTTATCTAATAAATTCTTCTTTTCTCCTTCTTGTTCTGATTCCTGACAAACAACTTCAATATCCCGAAGCTTCCCATAATAGAAGTCTCGTTCACGTTCGAGGCCCTCTACTGTCAACTTCAACTCTGAAACCTAGGACAGAAAATCACAACAATGGACATTTTCAAAACATGGCTTAAATATACTTTACTTGTGTATTTCAATAATTATCACTTTTCTGAAAGCATCATGCTTTAGATGATGAATTAAAACACGTGCCTTGCATGCTAAACATGGCCCAAAGATGTTTTCTGACTGACCCTAAAATGTCCCGATCCCCTTGAACATGGTCCATATTTTCGCACTGTGTAATACTATCCACACCTTTTGCATTGTACCCTATAGGGCTTACTGCTATTTTTTTTAAATTGTATTAAGAATTGTATTTAACTCACTTTCAGTAACAGAAAATATATTACAAACAACAGCCAACAAGTTTGGCCTGGCTAGGTTGATGATACATAAACAAAAAGACATCAGGTAACTCACTGAGCCCGAGAAATGTCATTTGAGAGCTTCACTGTATTACAAGCTCAGTGATGTCTCAAATTTAACGGCAACTGTGTCAGTCAACTGGTACATAAGTTGTAGTCTGACTTAAAATTTAAACACACGTACCAATTTCATCATAACCTAATAAATCACACATTGTTAGTACTTATTGACCATTACTTTTCAATGATTTTATAAGAAACAAACTTCTTTAAATTGATCTTAAACGATTAAAATATTTATTTATTTATTACCTGGTTTGACATCTCCTCCACTTTATGAGAGCCTGTTGAGGTTACCATTCTGTTTCCTCCACTACCAAGTTTTGGTGGTGTGGTCTTAACTCTCTGTGTGGGTACTGAAAAATAATCCAAACACAAAACTGAAAGAATATATCTTACTCTTTGCAGTACGTTAACTTATTCCTACCTGAAAATGCCAACTGTCCAAAAAAGACGTGTCACGGAGTTTGAACCTAATTTTTTGAACTGACAAATGATTTCCAGTTTCTTCAAGAAATACTTTTACAAACAAATCCAAAAGAACCCATAAAACACTAGAAAAATGTTACAACAATATGCAAGAGCGATGTACAAGCTAATGGCAAAAGTTTATCACTCGATCATGGTATCGATCGCAAATTCTGTGCTTTCAGCTACCCTTTACTTTTTTAATTCATTTCGATCATTGTTTGTAACTTGTGAATAATCATAATCATTCCTGGACTATCAGCTGGCAAAAAAAAATCCTGTGCTTCTTCACAATCACTGGTTAAATACTAGCTCTTCCAGGCTTTTTGCCTGCTAGCCACTAGCAGCTTCAAGCCCTAACTTAGGACAGTGTATCTTGTGTCGAAAAATTACTTAATACTTAGAACAAAGTGAACAGATTATCATGGTCAAACTTTCTGTTCTTTCATCCCCATATAACATCAAACTCGGGTTATATTGCTAGACTTTAAAAACAAAGATGGTGTCAAATTGAATGAGGTAAATATGTATTGAAATCCCTTATTATCTTAGCCAAAAAAAAAATCAAAAAATCCTGCCTCTCATAAAAATAGAAATAAAAAAAATCCAATGATTATATAACATTATAATACATAGAACTGAATTTCTATTATATGTAACCTACTTGTGGGAAGTTTAAATATAGCCAATGATAACACAGATTTATAAAAATAAATGCTTTTTTTCAACTGCTTTATAGTAACTGTAGCTAAAGATAAAAGTATGGGAAACGTCTGCATTATAGTTAATATAACTACAGAAAACAATGACTGATCACAAGAAACACCTGTCCGTACTTCTTTGTAGTAAATACAGACAAAAATACATCTTACAGTTAATGGTAACACTTTGTGATAATACATCTTACAGTTAATGGTAACACTTTGTGATAATACATCTTACAGTTAATGGTACCACTTTGTGATAATACATCTTACAGTTAATGGTAACACTTTGTAATGCTACCACTTTATAACAATACATCTTACAGTTAATGGTACCACTTTATAACAATACATCTTACAGTTAATGCTACCACTTTGTAACAATACATCTTACAGTTAATGGTAACACTTTATAACAATACATCTTACAGTTAATGCTACCACTTTATAACAATACATCTTACAGTTAATGGTAACACTTTGTAACAATACATCTTACAGTTAATGCTACCACTTTATAACAATACATCTTACAGTTAATGGTAACACTTTATAACAATACATCTTACAGTTAATGCTACCACTTTATAACAATACATCTTACAGTTAATGCTACCACTTTGTAACAATACATCTTACAGTTAATGGTAACACTTTTAACAATACATCTTACAGTTAATGCTACCACTTTATAACAAT